GATAAATTTTTATATATTTTTTAAATTGGTATAGAATTCTCAACATCTTGTGAAAGTTTTTAATACAAACCGCTTTACTGATAAGCAAAAATCTGACCTAAAGGTTGAAGCAATTTTTTAAACTTGTTTTCCGTGTAACGTAAGTTATGTGGCATTTTCAGTAATAAGTTCGTCCTCTTTGGGCCAGACTAAAAACCTTTCAGCCTATTTTATTCTTTAGACTAACAACTTTCATACAAAATAGCTAAAAGTTTAATTTACAGTTGAAAAACGGCAATTATTTGACAAAGCTGTTGCGCGTGTAACGTTAAAAATGGAATTGCCCACATATATATGTTTTTAGTTGCGTCGGTAATAAACCTTTTACCTATATTATTGTTAAAAACACGACATATATATATATATATATATATATATATATATAAATATATATATATATATATATATATATATATATATATATATATATATATATATATATATATATATATATATATATATATATATATATATATATATATATAAACTAAGAAAAAGTCACATATGGCAAAGACTATAAAACATCTTGTTAGTACTTATAAATTTCAGGGCCGACGACACCGGGGGACAAGTGTCTCCCCCCCTCCACACACTTTTTTTTCTAATTATTTTATTTTTTATTTTTTTAAAATTTTTTAGATATACAAGAATTTTTTTTGAAAATTTACGATTGCACCCTCCCTCCCCCACTTCAAAATCCGAGCTAAGCAGTAGTTATGTCTATCTTGTTTCTTTTATTAATTGCTACTTAAATTATGCACACGTTGCTTGGTAACGCAATCAAAGTAAAAAATTGCTAAGTAAACAAACCAAAAAATTAGGATAATGATAATCACGTTTCTCACTCACCAAAACTCTATTTAATAAACTTAATATTCTAGATGTAAATTAACTAAACCTTTATCATATTTTTATCTTCATGTTTAAACTTAATAAAAAGAGGTCGCCGATCATATTAAATTCACTTTTAAAAATAAGCTTCATAGTTCCAACCAGATTTTTAAAATACATTTACATTCATCTAAATCTAATTGTTCAGCTAGTAAGGTCTCAATTATTCAGCTAGTAAAGTCTCGATTGTTTAGCTAGTAAGGTCTCAATTGCAGTCCAAGAACCAAATATTAGCAATGAAGTTACAGAAAACTCTGTTGAATGACCTTGAAACTATTTCTTCTTTTAATCAATGCTTAATAAAAATTAATCAAACATTTATGGTAAATAAAAATGAATTTAATTTTCAAAAGTTTTTAAAATAAAGAACAAAACTTTAATTACTTAATAACTATTAATAAATTATTATTAACTATTATTATTTGATTAGTTGTTTCATTATTTAAGGGTAGCTTTCTCATCTTTTAGTTTTTACTCTTTTAACTATTCATTTGCTTTTTCTTTTTAACTATTTGCTTTTACTCTTAACTATTCATTTGCTTAACTAAAATAAACAAAAAAATAGATAAAAAGTTTTTTACAAATTTTATTTAGGTGCCCCAAGAAGTTCTTACGGTCATACCACAGAGCACCGAGGATGAGCATATAATTGGAAGTTCACGCAACCTTTCTAAAACTTGCCCCGAGGTGGGGTTTGAACCTCGGATCCTTTGTTTCTGAGGTAAGTGCGCTACTACTGCGCCACGGCTGCTAACACAGGTCAACATTATGTAGATAATATAGATAATAACGTCAGTGATATGATAACAACTGTTTATAGAAAACCTACAGATACTATTTGTTTTTTAAACTATGAATCAAATCACCCTTTATACCTTAAGTCTAACATTATTTTTAATCAAAAAAATCAGAGATAATAGCTGATTTAAGCTGCCATCATGATAGTATTTGTAGAAAAGAGTTGCAATTTTGCTATGATGGGAGAGTGGCTCAATTGTTAATTTAATTAATGATTCATTTTTCGAGGTTCGGTGATTAAGTTTGTCTTAAAAATGTTTTTCATAAAATACAGTTATAAATTTTTCTTATTGACAAGTACATACAACTAAAATGCATACAATTAGCAATACATATAATTAGCAATAACAATACGAGCTTTTTTTATATAGGGGAGAGTGGGGCACAGCTGAACACGGGGCACAGTTGAACAAAACCATCAAAGACATCAAAATCAACACAATTCATTCATCTATGCTCAACTGCGAACGTTACACAGTGTTGCGCTGATCATGTTAGTATTTAATTAAATTTGGATAAATATTCTTTGTTGTGAAGCTTGCTGTAAACAAATTGAGATTATTACTTTTGTACAATTGTGATTTCTGGTAAGTTTGTCGATGTATCATGAATACTTTTGATTTTATCAGTAGATTTTTAACTCACGTATTCAGAAAAGCAACTGTACTCGATGATTTTGGGATATTATTTACGTATGGTCATGTCAGTAGACCGCTACAGTGTGGGGCACAACTTAACAAAAATAACAGGCACCACTAAACGCGTTCAGGTGTGCCCCCTGGTTTGTTGAACATGTCCCCATAGGTCATGTTTGACTTTAAAATAGGCTTTCGTCTAATTTGGGCTACGATGCTGTTATTAGATCTGCAGCAGTTCATTAGTACTATATATATATATATATATATATATATATATATATATATATATATATATATATATATATATATATATATATATATGCTTTGTCATGGGAATCAATTGTAGAAAATGCTAAATTCAAGTGTGTCCCATCCCTGTTTCAACTGTGCCCCACCACAGCTGAACAATTTTGCGAGCTTTGTTATAATGCATGTCACCTACAAAATACAACTGTTTTTATCTTTCTTGACATAATTTAATCCCACCAAAGATAGTTTTGTTTGTATTAAACTTCGGAGAAAAGTTACAAGCAGAAATTTTAGTAAATCAAAATATAACAATTTTTGTTCAGCTGTGCCCCACTCTTTTATTACAAACTTCTGGGGAGGAAATCTGTTTTTTGTTTACCTGCTTTATTTTTAAAATTAACCTTTTAAAGTTATTTTTATATTATTCTTTATTTGCAGATAATTTTGTTTTAAGATAATTAATATATAACTTCTATTTAATGATTTTTAAATCTCAAAATTTTTTGTGGGCTTTTTTAGCTATTTGAATTTATTATCTTTCAATAATAAAAAAAATTATCATTAAGTACGGAGTAAAACATTTTAACGAATTATCGTCTTGATCTACATTATCATTGAGGTTTTTGATGCTTTGATAACAACAATTCTTTTTTAAACAGTTTTATATTAGTTTGATTAAAAGAATTTTATCTTTTTTTATTTAATTTATTATTAGACTTTGAGTTAACTGAAAAAAAATACTAGAAAATCGTCAGATATATCCGATTTAATGATAACCGTTTGGATATCAAAGTTGAAAATATATGCTATAAAAATATTATCAACCAAACTATGGTCAATAATATAACTGATATTCAACACTGATATTCAAACGGGTTTTCTAGGCCTAACTTCTGCTAACTGATAATAACAACAACAACTTACCTAACTAGCACACATACATTAGGCCAACGTAATGTAAATTCATCGCAAACATGGAATATTTTTTTCTGATGCAAATATAACGTTGATCCAATGTCATATCTTTAGCAATGATATCAATAAAAAAATTACTACGGCGCAACTAAAAAAAGCTTGCTCAATTACATTAGTCTTACGTAGGTAAAATCATCGCAAAACTTGGTTGTTTTTACAATCTAAACTAAACATTGATCCAATGTATGCAACCCAACCCAAAATATTACACTTCGCTAAGTTAATATAAAATTTTGAGGAAAAGTTGTTTTTTTGTTGTTGGTAACGTTGCGTTTGTAACCAAAATGATATAAAAACAACGTTAGCGACCGATGTTGTGCCGATGTAACTTGCAACATTGCTTTAAAGTTTTACAGTATATTAATCCTGTAAAAATTTCTGTAAAAAACAACACAATCTTTTATTAAAAGACCAACTAGATTAACAAAAAACTCAGAATCTTTGGTCAAAAGATGGTCCAAAGTTTTAAGCGTGTTTTATCTGATAAACGCTTGGTAACCATATATATATATATTTTTTTTTGTTATTTTAGGTGCCCCAAAAAGACCTAACGGTCTTGTCACAGAGCACAACGAAAGTAGATTTAACCAGAAAGTTCACGCCTCTTACCTTACCGTGACGCGAAAATTTGTCCAGAGACCACTGCGCCACGGCCGCAAACATATGATTATTATTAATGTTAATGTAGAGCCTGGCAAAAATGTTTCAATTTTTTTTCTACATCAATGAGAGAACATAAAGAAGTTTTTTATTTATTATATTAATCTATACTAGTTTTTAAATCAAGTGAAATGTAAAAATTGGTCTTGATTTTGTTAAAAGAGGACAAATCTATAGCAAATTCTAATCTATCTATGTGGAACACACACATAGAGGGGTAAAACATTCCTGATTATCAAATTTATATTTGAATAAGCAATATTTTGCATCAAAAATAGTATAATTTAACGTAAATAAAATCTTACTAACGATATAAAAATAATAATATGTAATAAAAGAACAAAATGATAAAAAAGTACGGCCCCCGCCATCGCGCCTGCCTCGCTCACCTCGAACCTTATAAGAGCTGTATTTTTTAATCAATATTTTAATCAATATTTTAATTCATATAAATAGACTGCTATTGGGGTTGTATTTATGGTGGGTATCATATTTACATAAAAAGAGAGAGTTTTATTAAAATTAAAGAAATTTTTTAGTTATTTTTTAACTGATTTTTAAATATTCTACATACAAAAACTGCTGTACAAAAATAATGAATAAAATTTGATTAAACCACAAGCCGAATGAAGTGGAATTTACCTTTATTCTTTTTATCGGCGCATCACCTTTTTTTTTGTTCTGCTTTTATAACTAGTTTATAAATTTGTAAAAAAAAAAATGCATTAACAAAGTTTTTCAAAATACAGACATGCGCATAAATGTTTTTGTCGACATAGACTTTCCATTCATCCGCACTGCGCCACCAGAAGTTCTTCAAAACCAACTTGAAAAGAATATATTTGAAACAATACCGGAGAAATAAATATATATACACTTATTTTAATTACATTTTATATTATTAAATATTTGTTATGAATGGCAATGATGCTCAGGTATTTGCAATTTATATGTATATATATATATATATATATATATATATATATATATATATATATATATAATATATATATATATATATATATATATATACATATATATATATATATATATATATATATATATATATATATATATATATATATATATATATATATATATATATATAAATATATATATATATATATATATATATATATATATATATATATATATATATATATATATATATATATATATATATATATATATATATATATATATATATATATATATATATATATATATATATATATATATATATATATATATATATATATATATATATATAACACAAATAATAACTTTTTGTAAACGTCTGCATATTTAACCAGTCATAAAAACTTAAATGTCAACATAATTCTAATAAGTTTTTTATACTTTCAAAAATAAAGAGAAATTATGTGAAATAAAATTTTAAACAGACCAAACATTCAATTGTTATACATCATTAGAAGTTGCTTGAATACATTATTTTAGAGGTGAAAATTTCATTAAAATTGGATCATTCTAACAAAAATTATGAAATACTTTTTTTGTTACTGTAAATCTTATAGGTATCACTGGCACCATAAAAGTTCTTTTTGGAGCTATGATAGCTATGAAAAAAATATACTTAAATGGAGTGAAAAAATTTTGTTTTTTCATTAAAGTTGTTTTACTATCTTTAAAAATTTATTGTATAATAACATAAATTAAAGTAAAATAAATTATAAAACAAATTTGAAAAATATTCAAAAAAAAAAAAAAAAAAATAGCAATTCAACAAAACATTTTTTTTGCTTTGGTTTTAGAAATTACATTATTCACTATACCCAGGATCATAATGTTTAAATATGAATTCTTTATTCTGTAAATCTGATACAGTGTTATACTACTGAATAAAAATAACAATACTTAAATTTATGTGCAATTGATATCATTTGGTACCAATGTTTTGTTATTGTGCTGCAGTGGCATTGCTATAATGTATTCCACCTGCAATAAAAGTTTACCTTTTGATCTCATAATAATATTTGCTCTTTTTGTATTATATATGTTGTTCTACATTCATTTTTTACTTCCTGATTTCCATTTGTGCTAAGTTTTGTTGGAGGATGAAAGTATTTTCACTATAAAATGTATCATATAAAATAAAGCATATAAAGTGGTACATACGAATACTGCACTGGACCTCACCGGACTACACCAGACCACATTGGACCACACCAGAGTATAAAAAACAGTTTTAGTAGAGTGAAACATGCGTAAGTTGTATTTGTGATACATATATACAATAAAAATTTATATAATTAAAAAAAATAATAATAACTTTAAATTAAAAATAGGGACAGGCACTATGGAATAGTTATGCTTCGAATAATTATGCTTCATAAGTGTGCATGCATTGACTGAATAAAATAGGGACAGGCGCAGTGCAGTGTTGCTATATTGACTGACTAACATAGGGACAGGCACAGTATAGTGTACATGAAGTGTAAAGGGTTTTTGGTTAGTGCAAGCAGTCCAAAAGGATAACTTATAAATCTCGTAAAAAAGCCTACTTTTCTGCTTAAATTCAAGAACATTTAAAACTTATGAAAATTAATTCTTTTTTCAAAAAATCAAAAATAATAATTTGTGATAGGGGTGCACACATGTGAGTGAGATACACATTTGCTATAAAATTCTGACTCTAATACATATTTTTACTTGTAGGTGCACAATTAAAATTGTTATAAAAATTTAAATTTTTCAAAATTTTTTTTTTGTAAAAATTTTTATTGCATATATGTATTATGAATGTAACTTATGCATATTTCGCTCTACTAATATTGTTTTTTTATACTCCGGTGTTGGTCCGGTGTAGTCCGGTGTGGTCCGGTGCAGTTTTCCTATACACCCCGTATAAGATATACTAATGACAACAATATGCTTTTGTGGCTTTCAACAGCTATTTTGTGGTCAACTGCCGACCTGAAAGTGTTTGAGGTCGGCAAAAAATTGCCGACCTCGTTTCTATGTTTTATGATCAGACCTTTGTATCAAATAATTTTTGTCGGCATGAATTTACACAAATTATTGCTGACCTCCTAATTACCAGGGTTGATATATATATATATATATATATATATATATATATATATATATATATATATATATATATATATATATATATATATATATATATATATATATATATATATATATATATATATATATATATATATATATATATAACAACTTCCATTTCAACAGACTGCAAGCAACCACTATTTGAGTTGGAAGTTACTAGAAAGGAAAAAATGAAGTTTATAAAGCAAGATAATGATTAACAGAAAACTTAAAATATTGCAAATTATATGAATCAAGAAAACAATATAAAAGGAGCAAATTCTAAAGAACTGATATTCGTGGAAAAAAACTAGATGAATAAGAATTTCTGGAGCTTTTAGGAACAGTCACAGTAAAAGGATGGTCTTGATTGAATGACATGAACAATGCGTTTTTACACCTTATCTAAAAGAGAAAGGGACGAATTTGAGATTTATAGAGATAAAGAATAAAATCCGAGGTATGAAATTGGCAAGCACAATAAAGAGATGCAACCTTAGCAGATGCTAATTTTGTAATTGATTTGATATATGGTTTTCAAGAAAGATCGGAAGTAAGAGTTAATCCTAGAAGACAAAGGGTAGATCACTCATCTAGTACATTATTGCTCATAAATGTAGGAAAATCTAGATTATTGCGATAACGATTTGCTGAAAAAAATTTGTTTTTATCTGAGTTAAAGCTCAACAGCCACTGAGAGCCCCACTGATAGCTGTATTAAGTTTAAATTCACTTTAAGTTTTCTATTGTTTTGAAATACAAGATTAATGTTGCATGATTATTGTGACAATGTGAAGAAAAATAATAATTATTGTAAGTAAAAAAATTTAATATAAAAAAAAATCTAATCATTAGCTAGTTAAGCTCATGTGTTAAAATTAGGAGTTTTAAGTGGTTTTATGCCTTTTTTTTTTTTTCAGAAAAAATCAACTGTCAAGATAATTTGATTTAATTCAAATAAAAGTAAAGTTTTTAAACATATGCAACATTTTAATTTTATTTCATTGTTTCTTGAAAATTTAAAATGATTGGATAAAATTATGATTTAATCCTTTTAATTTCAAATTCATTCATTTTAATTTCAAAGCAAATTTTAAATTAGATTTAAGTTTGCTTTAAATTTTTCTGTGTTAACCAGCCTAAGAATTTAGGTCAGCCTTTACAATGCTGATTCACAGTGCAGCTTCACAATGCTGATCTGACAATGTCTGAGGTGGGCAATTTTTTGCTGATCTCAGAATTTTAAAACCTTATTTTATTTGACATTTCAAATTAATTAAAAACAGTGAAACAAATGCTTAATTTAGATTTTAAATAAAATAATTAAAATGGCAAACATTTTATTTCAATTCTAAATAAAACTATTAAAATAAAAATAAATAAATAAATATTTTATTTAAATTCCAAATAAAAATGAAGGAACAAACACTTAATTTGAATTTTAAAAAAAGGGCAAAATCGACATTTTATTTCAATTTTAAATTAAGAATTAAGAAAACGCTTTATCTAAATTTTAAATAAAATAATTTTTCAAAAAATGGCAAAACAAATGCTTTATTTTCTAAATAAAATAATTAGGATTAAAACAGAAAAACAAATTTTTTAACTTAAATTCTGAATAAATTTTAGAGTCACTAGATCAAAACAAATGTTTTGCTGTTAAAAAAATGCACATTTGACTGCAACTCAATCTAGAATTAATTTGTTTAATCCAGCAGGCAGAAAATTTGTCTAAGATGTCTAAAACATGTATTAAAATGTATTAACACCTATTTTAAGCAAATAAAATATGTCTTGTTCTTAATGAAATATGTGTTCTGTAAAAAATATTAATATGGATTAACGAAGTTAAAATTAAAGGCTGATAATAAAATGAAATTAGATTTAAAAATAATTCTCTCCTGTTCTTATATTAAGACCATTAAAACAAATGTTTATTATAAGAAATATTTTTAAAATTAATTTTGTAAAAACATTTGCTAAAAAAATTTATGTAATAATAAATGTTTTTAATTTAATTTCAAAAAAATGTTTACTAAAAATGTTATGCATAATAAAAATGTTTTTAATTTAAATTAATTTTATTAAGATATTTGTTAAAAACATTATTTATAACAGTTACGTATGATTTAAAAATTTCTTGTGTTGCATTGAATAATTCAAAAGTATTATTAATACTTTTTTTTTCGTTTTTTTAAACATCAGTTTAATGTCTTAAATGAAAAGGAAACATTACATTTTGAAAATTTAAATTATTTATTAAAATTAACGAATCATTATATTAAGAACTAAATCAGTTAAATCTTTGTTATTGTTTTGATCTATTAACTTAATAATATTACTAAATTAAGCAAATTTTAAAAATGTTTCTTATAATAAACATTTATTTTAAAAATTTATTCTCCAAAATAAAACCAATAAGAGCTAGGTAAAAAAAAAAATAAAAAAAAATACGATGAGGTCCAAACAATAAAAAAGCAGTTGGGAAGTCAAAAGAACTTTTTTTTCAAATGTATTGTCTAAAAGATAATAATTTCCAAATATATACAGACAAAAAACACTGTAATAAATAAAAATGTTTGGCAAAATAATGACCTAATGACAAGCATCCATAATCACACATGTTTACAACATATTTTAGTTTCATGGCAATTTTCTTTATAATAAGTCCTGTATAATATATATATATATATATATATATATATATATATATATATATATATATATATATATATATATATATATATATATATATATATATATATATATATATATATATATATGTATATATATATATATATATATTTATAAATATATATTAACTTATATAATTATTATATAATTAACTTGTATTACTTCTATTTTACTTCTGAAAACTTCTTATGTGATAAATTATAAAATTTAGGAATAATAAAATTTAAAAAAATGTCTTCTATATAATTTTTAATTTTTATTTTATTTATTTAATTTTTTATTTATAGATAAAAAAAGAAGACGGAAAGATGGCTGGTCAGTTTTCTTCCTATTTTATTTTTTTAATTTTTTTTACAACTTTGTTTATAATTATAACTTTCACTTTACCCAAGTTTAACTTAAAAAAAAAATGTTTAAAAAGGCTTTTACTGTGAATACATACATCAATGCATTAATCAAATCAGATATTTTTTTAACAAAAAAAAATGCAGAGTTGTAAGCCTAAAATTTGGTTTAAAAACAAAAGTAAGATGGCAAACAATCAAAAAAGCTGATGTCTTTTTTTTCATATTATCTCCATGAATAATTTGTTTTGCTGAGTTTAATTTAAAACTTATTTTCTAATATTTATTTATGAAATAAACACAACTTGTCTTTGAACTTTTAATCACTTTTATTGTCATTTATAACTTAATAATCTAATTTTTTTTAAAGCATAAAAATTGATATAGTTTTAATAAATAGAATTAATTTTTTTAAATTTGTGTTTTTTATTGTTTGTTAGTAATGATTTTTAATAACATATTTATTAAGTCTGAAGCACTTTAACTTTAAACTTTAAAAGGTTATAACCTTTTTTTTCAAATATAAAATAAATGGATAAAGCGAAAGGCATTTATTTAAGACTATAAAATATAAAAGAAGAAAAAGATGATTAAATAATTTTTAATGTAACTTCATAGAAATTAAAAGAATCATTGTTTTGATAATTTTTTTTCTTAACTAATTTACTCCCAGTAAGGTTGCAAGCTACCACTATGAAAATAAAGAATATCATAACAAATGTGATTAAAAAAAAAATTAAATAACTGTAAATTGTAAGAGTCAGGAAAACATGAAGGCAAGCTAGAATTCTAAACCATGTGCAAGATAAAAAACTAAATGAATAAAAGTTTTTAGAGCATGAATAGACAATAATGTATTAAAATATGATAGTAAAATGATGAATGATGCGTCAAGGAAGAGTTAATTTTGGTTGATGGAAAGACAATAGCTCGTTCGAGCAATATCCATAATGGTCTTTCTGTTTTAACAGATAAAAGTCAGCTGAGTGAATCAAATACTGTATTAATTGTCAGATAGTAAGTGGTTAGAATCAAGATGAAATATCAGTAGTTTATTAATTAAACACTCAAATAACATTCTAACAATAAAGAGACAATGATTAGAGGGGTCAGAATGTTCTCCAGAGTTGTTTAAATTTAGTACCACAGATGACACTTTCAAGCACACTAGTAAACAATTTTTAATTAAGCACTTATTAAATAGTTCAAAAAGTTACTTTGTAAGACTATAATAGGAATGTTGTCCAGACTCCAAACTATAGATGAGTTTAAGAGAAAAATAATTTTAGCAATGGATACTAGAGTGATTTTAATTGTCTAGCAATGAATTAACCTGTTTCTTTGGGATAGGAAGAGGTGTGTGGTCATTAGATGCAAGAGATGGGTTGGAGGAAAAGTTCTTTGCAATTAGTTCTGCTTTATCCTTGGAAAGGTAATAGGACCAGAACCATGATTAGAGATTGAACATTAGGCTTGCCTTATTTAAAGATACTGTTAAAAAATTAACAATTATTAGTTTCTAGAACCTAACTTTTGAGATAAATACAAGATTTTGTAAACTTAGAATAATGGATAGCATCAGACAGGATATTTTTTGCAATACTAAAAGAATTGTTTATTTGGCATATAAATTTCATAGAAATATAAAAAATCATTTTTTGTTGATATTTTTTGTTAGATGTGTTTAAAAAGAATATTATAACCATAAAAAAATAGTGCATTAAATACAAACAAATAGTTCTTCATTAAATTGTTGCTATTTTTTTGTTTCAGCTCTTTATGGCCAAAAAATTGTATGTTTTTTACCTGCTCAATCTAAAACAGAAATATGTATACATGTTTGTATACATACATGTGTATATTATTAATTTGAACACTATTTAAATTTGAAAAACTTTTAACTAATTACATATCTTTAGTTATTAGTTTTTGATATACAGATAATTGTTTGCTATCCAGATAATCTGATAAAGTTATAAATTTGTGAAATAATTTTTTTTAGTTTCACAAGTTCTAACCGAAGACAACACAGTGCAATAGAAAAGTGCAATAATAAAGTTGTTTTTTTCTATTGATCATAATATCAGTCCTTGTTTTAAAGTGTTAAGCATAGAGCGATTTACGTACGCCTTAAGCAAATTTTATGTAAGCAGTAAGCCATTTCGGTTAAGCAATTTTTTATCATTTTTTAACTTATAAATTATACTATAAGCGTTAAGTAACTTTTGAATGACGTTTATGTAAAAATATTTGTTACAAAAGTTTGAATGACAATTATGTTTGATATAAGCGCTATATAAATAATAAATTTCAGTAATAAATTTTTTTTTTTTTTATTTGAGTTTAAAAAAAAACTCAAATAAAATTAAAAGTTTATTTTTATTTTGCTTTTATTTTATTGTAATGATTGATTTTTTAAGCCTGAAGCAAAGATCATGAAAACATAGTTTAATTCTGATAAAAATATATGATTTAATTAACTAGTTAAATAAAAATATATAATTTTATTCTGATAAAAAATATATATATATATAATTTAATTTAGATTTAAAAAATATATAATTTAATTTTGATTTAAAAAATATATTCAAGCCTATTAAAATTAAAGTTAATGCTTGTGTTTAATTTAACTGTCAAATCTATTTAAAAGTATTACTAAATATTGTTCAATTTTTAAATTTTATTTTTTTCTTAAAAAAAAAATCAGCTTATTTTTATCACTATTGTTTTTTTGGTTTTCCTTTCGAAACATTTTTCAAAAATTTAAAATTTTTTCATTAATCTTGGTTTTTTCTCTTTTCCAAAAATTTAAAGCGTACATTTTAAGAATTAAAGCGCAAAAAATATATAAGGAAATTGTCTCCTTACCTACATATTATCCTTTATATTATTATATTTTGTAGTTATGTTGAACAAAGTTTGATTGTAACAAAGTAATGATCAGTTTAAGTCCTATTTAATAACTGTAAATAGAAAAGTGATTTCATAAACATAAAAAATATGAATAAGTAATGTTTGTAACAATATTACTTATTTATACTTTTTTATATTATAAAACTTGTTAGTTTTTATTTTTGATTTTAGTTTTTCCAAATGGTAATATTTAACAATATAGTATTAACTTTTTATATTTATTTTCTTTTTTCTTTATAGATATTAACAATGGAAAAATAATTCCTAAGGAAATCAACATACTTGCTGGAGTATTCAATATTTTATCTTATAAAAGAAGTTTTTTATTGAGAAATTAATGCTACTTAATATTGCAGACCTTCTAACTTACCATTAGAAGTTGGAAGATCTGATATTGTTATTGGTTGAGATTATTGTTAATTTATTTTAGATTACTCCTCAGACTATCAAGAAACTACCAAAAATTCCTAAAATGAAGAAAGAAGAAGTACCTTTAGCAAAGTTGCAAACAAATAAAGATATCAAACAAGAGTTGTTAAGTCCTGTATGTTTTTTTTATTATAGTAAAATAGTGTTAAAATACAAAATAGAGACTGGGGTTAGTTGCAACAGTGGTTAGTTGCAACAGTGTCATTTAAAAGATGTTTTTTAAGTTATTGTTCCCAAATGTTTTTACAGTATATAACTATAAAAAATATTGTAATAATAAGTTTTTTTTTTTTTGTTTTACTGAAAACTAAGAAACTCTGCTGCTGCTGCTACTACTACTACAACAGCTACTACAATAACAACAATTACTACTACTACTGCTTCTACTACTGTTACTGCTACTATAACTACTTTAAAGAGCCCATTCTGATTAAAATCTATATTTTATTGATTTTACTACTACTATTACTATAACAGCAACTACTGCTACTGCTGCTACTGATACTATAAATACTTTATTTAAAGAACCCATTCTTTTGGTTTACAGAAAAAAGAAGAAAATCATTCGTCTCTTTCTAATGGCCATTCTTTAGAAAATGTTAAAAAAGAAGAGTCAGATAGTGACGATGATAAACCTCTTAAAGCAAAGTAAGTAATTTTAAAAGAATTAAAGCAAATTTAAAAGAAACTATTCTATATATTTGCATGTATTAATTTTTGCTAAATTCTTTTCAAATTGTTCTTTTTTTCTTCACTAAATTTCCTAACAATTTAATTATGGAAATAATTTTTGGTTTTTTGAGAGTGAAAGTTGAAGGAAGGAAACGAAAAAATGAAAACAATGATTTTGAAGATGTAAGTACAAGAATTTTTGTGTGAAAAGTTTATTTTATGTTTTTCCTAATAACTTTATTTTTTAATAACTTTTTAGGTCAAGAAAAATAAAAATTCAACTCAAAGCAAAAACCAAAATAAAGAGAAACCAAAAAAAGTGGTATTTTCATTACTTGATATTAATATATAAATCTTTAAATATTTGTTATTAAAGTATTTTATAAATGTAGCTAGATTATTAGACACAATACATAAGAGCAATACTCTATAGCTAAAATTTTTAAAGATTTTAATTATTTTAAGAAAAAAGAAGAAGAGGAGGAAGTGTGGCGTTGGTGGGATGAAGATCCTCATCAAGATGGTATAAAATGGAAAACACTAAGTCATGAGGTAATTCTAATTAATCTTTGGTCTTAAAGGTTTAATTTCGAATACTTAAAGCACTTGTGTCAGACTTTATGGTAGTCATTTTTTTTTTATGGGTCTTTTTTAATAATTTTTTTTTTTTCATATCTTTGTGTTTCAGTCGTTCTTTCATTTTTTATTGAGCTTTTTACAAATGTTTTTTTTTTTTTTTTTAATATTTGGGCAGAGTTGTTAGTCCTTGGCCTGGCCTTAAGGCCAAAAATGATGGCCTTGGTCCTGGCCTTGAAACTGTTGGCCTTGGCCTTGATTATTTTGGCCTTAGCCTTAAAAAAATACATATTTTCTTATTGATTTTGTTGAATTCTGCACATAACCTTGGTCTATTTTTACAAAATGTGGATTTACTGTCACAGCACTTGCTACTTACAGTTTTGATAATAATTGGCCTTAATGTAAGACAAAAATTCAAGTGTTTGGTCTTGAAAATGTTTGCGTAGGCCTTGGCCTTGAAACTCTTAATCTTGGCCTGACCATAAAACTCTCGGCCTTGTCCTTGGTCTTGTAACTTTTGGTCTTGGTCTTGGCCTTGACCTTGTAACGTGTGGCCTTGGCCTTGCTACTTTTGGCCTTGTTAACAACTTTGTATTTGGGTCAAGTTAGTGTTCATTTCACTTCAAGTTTATTTTTTGCTATTTGTTGTTTTTGATAATTTAAATAAATTTGATAATAACTACTCTTTTACAATCTTGTTTTTAAAAATTTAATTAAATTATTGCAATTACTTATTTTAATACAAATAATTTATTTTAATATTTATTGTTTATAACTTGTAAATACATGATAGTGAATTGTGATTTCAGAACCTTATATGGTTATTGTAGGTTTTTAGTTTAAAAACAAAAATGATTTAAAGTAAAAAGTGATATTTTTATATAAATGATTATTTTATTAAAAGTTATTCAAAAGTAAAGTTACTTTTGAATAATTTAATTTTTTTTTTTAAAGTTTAATTTGAACATTGCAAATTTACTGGTTGATTAACTGAATTGAGAACTAAGTTTTATGTAAACAATAGAAATGCTAGTACTAGCAAAATTTCTATTTTTAATTTCAAGTAAATTAATTAATTGATAACTTTCACGCATGGTGAATTTAATTTAAAGAAAAAAAAACAAAAATTTATTCAAAAAAAGTTATAGATTAAAGTTACTATGTTTTTATTTTTTGTTTGTTTGTTTTAAGTGATAAAAAAATTGTTATTTTTCATAGTATTATTATGAAATATCATATTTTACCAACATATATGCCATTGGTTTTTATTGAAATTTGCATTGATGATAATATTTTTGAAAAAAAACAACAGTAAAATGGTTCCTTCAACTAAACTAATTTTTTTAAACATATTTATTTAAACTAATTAATTTATTAATATAAAATAATTTAAACTAACTTGTTTATTTAAACTAATATTTTAAATAAATTTACAATGTTTTTAATTTGTTAACTTATTTTTGAGTCATAAAAGTTTGTGTTTTAAAATGGAGATGAAATAATTGAATAGTTTTTTGTTTTCATTTTAATTAGTAATTATTATTTGTAAATTTAAATTAATATAAACTTACCTTTATAATTTTCCTATGTGAAATGAAAATAGTTTGTAAAAATACATTTTAAAGTTAGTAAATTTTATATTTATTTTGTAGGGTCCTTATTTTCCACCTGAATATGAACCTATGCCAAAAAATGTTAAATTTTATTATGATGGTAAGATATTTTTAATATAAATATTGTAGATTATTTGTAAGATTGAAAAATTGTAGATTTTTTGAGAACCTATTTGATCATCGCTATTTTATGTGATGATTGAAAAATTGGAACCAGAATGCAATTTGTTTTATAGTGTTTTGGGAATAGATCAATAAAAAAAATATTTGAACTATTTTATTTGGGTGTATAATTACTTATTTTAAAAACTTATTTCAGTTTCAACAGCTTTAAAAAATTGATCACATATATCAATAAACTTTTTTTTAAATTGTTTAATGTCAAATATGTGCTTAATACACATGCTTTTTTATGTTTGTTTTTTTTTTAAAGCTTTTTTAGAAGACCTTAATTTTTTTTTCAATATATTGGTTTCTCCCTGTATGATCTATTTATTGGATTAAACTTATGTAGTTGTTTTTTTACCCTCACTTACGCAAGGAGAAAAACAATTTTGCTACACATGAAACTGAAATACTTTAATTGGCTATTTCAGACCACAAACTAAAAATTAGAGACTCTAATGCTGATGAAAAATCCCATCAAAATCTTTTGAGGTAGTTATATTGTATACCATAAAGTGTCCATAGTGTTTTATTTCAAAATCTTGCATAGAAATCCAATTGAGTTATTATTTTCCTACAACTCATATTTATGGCAAGTTATAACAACTTATGACTTCTCCCAAAAAAATTATTTCACCCAAAAAAGTTTAAATATTAAATAGATATACACCAAGTTGATTCCTCAGTTTTTTTATTACTTTTTTTTCTTATTAATAAACATTAATCATAAAAACACTTCTCAATAAATGATTCTGGCAACACAACATTATCAGATTCTTATTCAAATTTTTTGCATCTTGGTACAGTTCCGTGCGGGCAATTCAAACATTTTTGCTGTTGTAATCAACAACAAAGTTTAGGAGCTGATAAGAGTATTGGGGATGAGAAGCATCTCTTTTGTATGTTTCCCAATGACTTTTGAAACAAGAATGTAAAGCTTTGGTGGCTTGTTCTCTATACAATTTTTTCACCTTGATAAATTGTTGAACATGATAAAAAGCAGCATAAACCTTTAGAGTGACAGGAAATCTGATTATGTTTTTGAAAATCAAACTTTGATTTTCAAAAACATAATCAGGTGAAAGGGAATAGCTGAATCATCTTCCTTAAATGAATTCAAAGCACAACAGAAATCTAGGGCTTCTAAATGAACTTCAGCTTCAGCAAGGAATTTCAGCTAATTCATTTTTTTTGAGCAACTTCATGCAATCATTTCGATTGTAGTGGCCACCATTGTATGATTAAAGAGAGGGATGTGAATGGCTTGAAACCAATCCATGGTCTTCAGTTATATTTCTGAGTTCTTAGAATTTTTCTTAGAATTTCAGTATATTTTCAGTATATTCAGTATAGTTATATTTCTGAGTTCTTAGAATTTTTCTTAGAATTTCAGTTATATTATCTTCAGTTATATTTCAGTTATATTATTCAGTTATATTATATTTGTACCAAACTTTTCATAATGTGATTGACCACACCAAGAGTTAAATGAAGTTTTGTGGGAGAAAGTACTTCCAAAACAATTGTTTTGTTAGGAAAAGGAAGCAAAGGAGGATGAACAGCATTAAAGAAAGCTTTGACAAATCACCTCCTGATTGAAAATAAAATTCTGGTATTGCTGTCTAATGTTTCCAAAGGTGTGAGGCTTTCTACAATGCAATTGAAGGCTCAATTTCACACCAACAACATAGGTTTTTGCTACCATGAGATTGAAGTCCACAAGTTATGCTTGCAAGCTTATTATTGCTAAATTAATTAATATTATGCTATGTTATTGCAAGCTTGCAAGCTTCATGTCACACTAGATAAACAAAGAGCTGAGAAAGCAAGTTTTGTCCGCATCAATGAGTTGAAAAATTGCCTTGACATTTTCAAAGTTTTCTGGTGTAATTTCTGCAATCGCCACAATCAGTTGCTTTTTAACCTCTGTGCTTTTGTGGCCTCTTGTGACCAAAGTTTGACTGATTTTTGAAGAGGATCTCTAATGCTTTGCCACTGTCTGCATGTTTTTGCTGATAATTGGTTTCTAGCCTTACTGGGCTAAACTGATTGAGAGCAAATCCTAGTTTCTACATTCCAGTATTTGAAAACACTGTATTCTCTTGGATTGAAATCATATTTTGAATACTCAAAGGACCAGGAAAGAGTTGCTATACAGCTGATGACCCTAAAAATTACAATATAAATTAGAATTATATTATTTAAATTTTGAGAGAGAGGTGATATCTATAATTATTAGAATTATATTATTTACATTTTGAGAGAGAGGTGATATCTATAATTATTAGAATTATATTATTTACATTTTGAGAGAGAGGTGATATCTATAATTATTAGAATTATATTATTTACATTTTGAGAGAGAGGTGATATCTATAATTATTAGAATTATATTATTTACATTTTGAGAGAGAGGTGATATCTATAATTATTAGTATTATATTATTTACATTTTGAGAGAGAGGTGATATCTATAATTATTAGAATTATATTATTTACATTTTGAGAGAGAGGTGATATCTATAATTATTAGAATTATATTATTTACATTTTGAGAGAGAGGTGATATCTATAATTATTAGAATTATATTATTTACATTTTGAGAGAGAGGTGATATCTATAATTATTAGAATTATATTATTTACATTTTGAGAGAGAGGTGATATCTATAATTATTAGAATTATATTATTTATATTTTGAGAGAGAGGTGATATCTATAATTAAATAAGAGCTGAATTTAACTATCTATATTATACTAAATATCAAAGTTAAAATTTCTCTAATTTTAAACTATGATTTTAATTTTTGGTGTTATGAGAACCTAATAATTAATCATTGGTTAAAAGGATTTTATGGGTATTTTTTTAGCATTAAAGTCCAAGATTTTCAGGATGTGAGACTGAAATAACCACCTACTGGAGCTTCAGTACATATATTGACTTAGGATTTGGGCAGATGGTATTTACATAGGACATGAATAGGACTGAAAAAATGTCTGGATTAAAGTCTGCCTTAAAAAAAGTCAACTAAATATATTATTGTTATGCCTATTTAAATATGTCATTGTATATACACACACACATGTAAATATGTCATTATATATGTACGCACAAACACATACACACACATGTAAATATGTCATAGTATATATGCAGCACACATACACATACATGTATGCTATAAGTTAGAACTCACTTGTTATTTTTGATGAATAATTAATCCCAAATAAAGTACACATATTAAGTTCACCACATGTATAAGGCCAATTTTATGCTGACTGCATTAGGTTAGCCTTGTTTTCTGCTGAATTTTTTGAAAGTTTCTTGTGTGCAGATTTTCAGATTTAATTATTTCTGTGAAATTCGAACAGCTCTTGTATTCACATTTAATTCAGATCTATTGTTCAAGTTATGATAGATGATAATGTAGAAGTTATGGTAGATGATATGTTTGAAACTTTTTTTTCAAGTGAATTAATAAAAATTTATCTCTTAGTGTTGTTATTGGTGACTAGATTGTTGTTGATCTTTTTTATGACCAACTTTTTTTATTATAACATTTAAAATATTGGTTGTAACCAAATAAGATATTTAACTTATCGAATACCTGACTATGAGATTTTTGAAAGACAGTAATAATAGTTCTTGTTTTTAAAGGAAAATAGATTTATAACAAGTTCAGAGGTTCTCGAATGTTATTTTGTAGTTTCATGCAGTACATCTTTGGTAACTTTTTTGTTATTTAATTTAGTCGTGTTTTTATATTTACTAAATTCATTAATTTTTAGAATTATTTAGAGTGGATAAATACGAATGTAAATAAAATCAAAGTTATGAAAGAAAATCAACAATATATATATATATATATATATATATATATATATATATATATATATATATATATATATATATATATATACATATACATATACACACACACGCACACATATACTAAGATAAAACTCATACAAACTTGCATTACCTAAAAATAGCATTACACAAAAAAAGGGGAAAGAAATTTAGTTGTTTTACTTGTTTAGTGTTTGTTTTCCTATCTATAATAGGCAAGCCAATGCAGTTAAGTTTAGAAGCAGAAGAAGTTGCTACTTTTTATGCAAAGATGTTAGACCATGATTATGTCAAGAAGGATATATTTAATGAAAATTTCTTTGAAGATTGGCGTAAAGAAATGACAGCTGAGGAACGCAATATTATTAAATCTCTTGATAAATGTGATTTTAAAGAAATGCATGCATATTTTATGAAGGTGACTTGTTTGTAAATTTTTTTATTTTTTGAATTTAATAACCAAAACACAATTTTATTTAGCATATACTTTTTAATATTTAATTAAAAAGTCTTTAAGAAACAAATTAATGCAAAGTGTTATTAATTTAATATATAATTTAAAAATAAAATAATGAATGAAAAAATTCAAAAATTTGTAATTGCTACAATAAATTAAGTTCTGCAGACCAGAATAATATGTTTATTTAAAGTTCAAATATCAATATAATAACTTGAAAAATATTTTATAAACAATTTTTTGTTAGTGTGCAGAAGAAAAACGAAACATGACAAAAGAAGAAAAGCAAGCTATTAAAGAAGCTAACCTAAAAATTGCTGAAAAATATGGCTTTTGTGAAATGGATGGTCATAAGCAAAAAGTTGGTAATTTTCGGATTGAACCCCCAGGCTTATTTAGAGGACGTGGTGATCACCCAAAACAAGGAAAGCTAAAAAAAAGAGTGTCAGCTAAGGAAGTCATTATTAATATTGGAAAGTAAGTAGAAAAGCATGGTTTGTGTGATATAAAACATTTTTAGAATAAAGCTCAAAAAAGTTTTTAGAATAGATTACTTCCTAAATAAGAATTTTTAAAAGTTTTAAAAAGTTTTATCATTTTAACAAAAATAATATTTTATTTTTTACAAATAAAATTTAAGGATAAAGTAATAGAACTAAATTTGTCCAAAACAATACTTCGACAAGCCTTGTTAAGAAGTGTTACGCTCTTATTTATTTGTTTACAGCTTTAAAATAACTGGTTGTAAAAATACGAGCTGTTATTTACAGCTCGTATTTTATGTACGAAATGGCACATTCAACAGTTTTACATAAAGCAAAGACTATTTTATTTTGGAATATATTGAAAAAATCTTTTGATACTGTTTACTTAAAAAAAAGTTTGTAAAAGAAAAGGTTTTACAGCAACTGTGAATTTTTCAAATTATTTTATTAAAAAATTTTTTTGATTAAAATTTAAATTAAATATGATCAGGGCCGTCCCAAAGAGATTTTAAAGGATGGGTAACATACTTGTTTTTTGCCAAGTAAGGCCCAGAAAATATTTTTTGCCTTCTAAGATCTTTTTAAAAAAAAATAAGGTTCTTGTTTGCTAATATTTGCTGACTGAACTACAAATCCAATTTGCCAACTTCATTGTCTAAATTTGCAGACTAATTAATTTACTAATGGGCTAAACACTCCCCTACACCCCCCTCCCTTGGTATGTTCCTGAATATAGTTTAAAAATTTTAATTTAGTTTTGAAGAAATGTAAAACAGTAAAACGTAAATGTAAAATACAGTTTCAAAGGAATGTAAAATAGTTATGTAATTTTAATGTAAGAATTTTTTTTTCTTACCATCAGCTAACTAGTTTATTACGTAAAACATTCTCTCCATGATAGATTATAATATGCAAAAACAAATTAAAAACTTTTTTTATAAAATGGGAGAAATGTTTTTTAGGAGAATTCTTTTCAAAAATGTATTTAAAATTTTGTGTTTTTTATTCAAAATCCTGTAAAGTTCTTTTGACGTAATACATTTATGAACATAAATTTACAAATATCTTATTGGTAACTGATTAAGTCTATAATTTGTCTAATCTTTATTTATTATTCTTTATTAAAGCATTACATTAAATACTTAAAAATAAATTAATTGTGACTAATTTATTTTTACGAAAAAAATTTTATGAAAAGTTTTTTTTTTTGTTTCTGGAAATAAATTATAAGGAAATATATACATTTTCAGTTACTGAATTTAGATTCATATATGTATATATATATATATATATATATATATATATATATATATATATATATATATATATATATATATATATATATATATATATATATATATATATATATATATAAAGAGAGAGAGATATACACATGTATGATAAACATATATATGAATATATATTTATATTTATTATTTAATTTTCAAGTGTTAGTGTCTAACTTTGTTTTGAACATGTTATTTAGTATAAGTTGTTCTTGTTATGTTCATGTCATTTGGTATAATTTGTTCTTGTTATGTTCATGTTATTTGGTATAATTTGTTCTTGTTATGTTCATGTTATTTAGTATAAGTTGTTCTTTAAAATTTATATTATCTTAAAGTAGTTTTTATAGTATCCTATAAAAAAGTTTTTATCCTATAAAAAGTTATAGTATCCATCTTTCATTTCCATTTTCAATAAACTTTTAGCCTTAAACTGCAATAGTTGCAAAATATAAAAGAAATATGAAAAAAATAAATTATTGAACAATTTTGTTACTAATAAAAATGTTTATATAGAAATATTAAAATATGTTTATTGTAAATTAAAGTAAAAAAAAAAAAAATTAAGAAATTTATTTGATTATATAGAGAAGCAAAAGTTCCCCAGCCACCTGAAGGACAAAAGTGGAAAGCAGTACAACATGATAACACTGTTTCTTGGTTGGCATGTTGGGTGGAGAATATTGCTGGAGGTTATAAATATGTGATGTTAAATGCTGCCACACGTCTAAAAGGAGAAAAAGATTGGCAAAAATATGAAACAGCTCGCAAACTTAAAGAGTGTGTTGAAACAATCAGAGAAAATTATATCAATGATTGGAAATCTAAGGAAATGAAAATTCGACAACGTGGTGTAGCAATGTATTTCATTGATAAGCTGGCTCTTCGAGCTGGTCACGAGAAAGAAGAAGGAGAATCTGCTGATACTGTAGGCTGTTGTTCTCTTCGTGTAGAACATATTAGTAAGTTTTATCGACAACAATCTTTTTTTCCCCACATGATAATCAAATTAGTATTGTAGAATTTTTTTTACTGTTAGCAAGTTATCGCATTTTTTAAGTTTAATTGCCGTCACATTTTTAAATTAGAAAAAATTATTTTTAGCACTTCATCCAGAAAAAGATGGCCAAGAAAACGTTGTTGAATTTGATTTTCTTGGTAAAGATTCAATTCGTTATACAAACAGTGTGCCTGTTGAAAAAAGAGTATTTAAGAATCTTCAACTCTTTATGCAAGGAAAGCAAGCTGGTGATGATTTATTTGATAGGCTGTCAGTAAGAAACTTTATTATTTTCATTAAAACAAAAAAATTTCAAAAATATTTTACAATTTTTCAAGTTATTTTATAATATTTTATTCTTTTTTATGTCATATCAATGCTTTTTAAATGAGCATTTAAACTTTTTTTAGACAACGTCATTAAATAAGTTTCTAGGAGAATTAATGCCAGGATTATCCGCAAAAGTATTTCGTACTTACAATGCTAGCATAACTCTACAACAACAATTAAATGAACTTACAGAAGAAGGTGCTAGTGTAACTGCGAAGTTTTTACAATATAATCGTGCTAATCGAGCTGTTGCAATATTATGTAATCATCAACGTGCTGCTCCTAAAACATTTGATAAACAAATGGAAAATATTGTTAATAAGGTTTCATATTTATTTGTTTTTTGATTAAAAAAAAAGGTTTAGCATTGTATGGATGTGACCTTTAAGGTTTAAAATATAATCTAGAAGCCCACATTTCATATTGATATATTTTCATATCTTTGGTGATATAAAGATATAATTTTTATTCTATTAGTTTCAGTGCAGATTAACTCATTCGGTTTAATGTTTTTTTCTTAGCTTAAAGAGAAAAAAAAACAAATGAAAGCTGTCAAAAAAGAAATAAAGGAGCTTAAGCGTGAATATCATGAAAAAGGAAAAAGTGAAAAATTAAAAACAAATATAGAAAAGAAAAAAAATCAGTTGCAACGCTTAGAAGAACAATACTTTAAACTCGAAGTTAATATGACTGACAAGGTAATTTATATATATTTTTTTAAATAGTGGTTATAATTATTAGGCAAAAATATGCTGCAAGAAATATATTTTTGCTTAAAAACTTCTTGCTACTTTTGATTACATTAATATATATGCTTTTTTTTATGCATTTCAAGAATAAAATATATAATATATTATTATAATATAATGTATAATATATTTTATATTGAGATAATTTTTGTTGTTGTTGTTGTTGTAAATGTGAGTGTTTAATTTATATTTATCAGCAACCAAATGCTATTAAGTTTTTTTACAATTTTTTGTTCTAGTTAAATAAAGTTTTCAAAGAACTAGTAAAGTTAGCTAACATTTTTTCTCAATTAAGAAAAGTTAAAAAAGTTTTCTCAATTGGCAAAAATCCAGCTAACAAGATAAATTAGTTTACAGTTGTTTTTATGTTATTAAAGTGTAAAGACTAATAAAATGAGAAACCAGGAAATTGGAACCCATTTTTTTTTACTATTTTTAAGCTTATTTTTTAAGGCCTCTATCAAAGAGTTTATAGGGTGTTGAATTAAAAAAAAAACTTGATTTACCAGATATCTGCAAAACTGGGAGCAGCCACACTGAATTGAAGGAAGATTAGTGAGTGATCATAGGACTCTTTAGCAAACTGATATGACCTATAATCTAAGATGTTTTATCCTCACCCTTTAAATGTTGATATTATTAATTTCTATTTACTTGCAATTTTGAGCTTCTTTTTTTTTCTTCAACAATTAAAGCTCCATGAAAACTTCTGTCTTGAGGAGGTTAAAGAATATAAAGCAATTAAGTGTCAATATTCCCATGTTAATGGGGTTACAAATACTTTAGCAAAGTTCAGTGTTTAACCCAAACCCCTGAAATAAAATTGAACTGTTTATTATAGGGCAAAGAACATCAGAAAATCACACAACAGGAATGTGAATGTTTTTCTCTATATTCAAAAATGGTGTGTATGCCATTCACCAACTTGTCAACAATTTACTTGTACCAATAACTTTGTCAAAAAACACAGTTCAAGTTTCTGCTTTATAGTCATATTGTGTCAGGTTGAGTTATGTATGCAAAAACAATTATAAATATTTTGTCATCATTCTGTTTTGCTTGAGTGTTTTCTGTCAGTTTTCTGACAAAAAGAATATGTCAAGTTTTATTCAAAAAAAAATATTTTTTCATTTTTTTTCAACTTCATTCATAAAAAGCAAAACAAGGTCATTTAAAAGTTAGTAAAACTTTCTTTTATAAGTGTCTTTTTTAGTCTAAATTTTAGCACGATTATTGTTTTTAAGTTTTAAAATCTAATATTAATTTATTTATTATGTAAAACCGTTCGTTTACATGTTTACAGCTATTTCAATATTATATTAGATCAGGAAGTTTATTAGGAAAAATGTCTTGAGAAACAAATTATTTAAAAAACATATTAAGAAATGTATTAAACTTTTTTTAAATTTAAAACAGGTTAAGGTTTTTTATTAGAGCAAATATAAATAAGAAACACTACACTCTAAACAAGCCATCGTATGCCTAACAGAACAGTAATTTAAAATGGGGGTTTAAATCCAAGCAAATGATTTAGTATAAAACTTGCAGTGACTATTTGGAGCTTTTGAAAATTTTCACAAAAATAAAGACTATGTATAGAAACATTTGTAAGTGGAACAACAGTCATAAAAAAGAATAACTTTTCAGACCATATTTTACTATCTTTTATGCTTACAGCAGCCAGGGTTGGGGTCAAATTTTTTTTTTGTATTTAATTAAAAGATTGGGAAATACAAGGAGGTTCTTTGCTATTTTTATTTTTAATACTAAATTAATACTAAAATAAATTAAAGATTTGTTTTTAAAGAAAATTTGTTAAAAGACTTGTTTTTATTCTTTTGTTTAGTAGACCATTTTATCAGTCTTGTCTTAAAAAAATCTTTATGTTTTTTCTAAACCTAAAGTACAAATATTTGTATTTGGAAAAAGCTGTTTGCATATATTTGTATTTGAAAATCTAAAATTAACGTGTTTGATCAAATGTATTATAAATGACCCAAACCCTTCAGCAGTTGTTTTTAGTGAAGAAAAAAACTATTGATACTATTAATTTTTTTTAAAAAAGTACTGCCAGTTCCTCTGACAGTGTTAAAGTCCAAACAACACTGAAATGATATATAAGGTAAATGCATTACCATTACAATGATAATACAATGATAATGATGTGCATTAAACTCTTATAAAGCAATGCTTTTATTACCAATTAATTATTAACCTTTTTGTGATGCAAAAAATCAAAAGCAAAATTTTGCTGTTGTTGGCTAAGAACTTTTGTGCAAAGCTGAAATTATTTGGATTTCAGGAGAAAATTATGAATAAAAATGATTTTAAATGGATTAAAAAACAACTTTTTAAAATTATTTTTAAGATATTTTATAATAAATAATTTATTTCTAAACTCTTCTTTTTAAGTTGACAAAAAAAGTTTATATATAGTTAAAATAATCATTACCAATGCAATCCTTTTTTTTTCAAAAAAAAGTTAAGATAATTCCACTTAATTTCAAACAAGCGTTTTATTTGCTTAATATATGGAATTTTTAAAGTATTATTTGTATATATTATATTATATTATCAAATACATATCATTCAAATATTGAATCGTAACAGTTATATCTCATATATATGTATATATATATATATATATATATATATATATATATATATATATATATATATATATATATTCAAATATCAAATAAGTTGAAAAACTTTTTTTTTTTAATTTATTTTTAGGAAGAAAATAAAGAAATTGCATTAGGAACATCAAAGCTGAATTATCTAGATCCAAGAATAAGTATAGCCTGGTAAGTTAAATTCTTATGTGTGTGTATATATATATATATATATATATATATATATATATATATATATATATATATATATATATATATATATGTATATATATATATATATATATATATATATATATATATATATATATATATATATATATATAATATGCACTTACTAAAGCGTGTTTTGATAAGCATTTGCTCACTTTTTCTGCTTACCTTGGGCTATACCGTTTTTTTTTCGAAAAAGAAGAAGAAAAAACCAAGAATGATGAATAAAGCGATTGCTTCCCCATCCCAAACCCTCAGTCGATGTAGCAGCACTCCACTGCGAGTCAGGCTATTTGTCAGTCGATGTATGTACGGAAGCCCCCAGCAGCAGGCTATTTCAGTATGACGTCAAATTGCTTACCATAGTACGCAATACTATTTGTGTATATATATATATATGTATATTCTTATGTGTGTGTGTGTGTATATATATATATATATATATATATATATATATATATATATATATATATATATATATATATATATATATATATATATATATATATATATATATATATATATATATATATATTCTTATGTGTATATATATATTATACTACTGTGATCAAAAAGTAAGGTGAATTTTTTTATAAAATGAAAAATCTTTATTTATTCTTCCAAATCTGTTTCGTCCCCCTCAAAATAATCCCCCCCCCCGGCCCCAATGCACTTTTGCCAACGTTTTTTCCAGTCTTCGAAGCATGCCGAAAAGTCCTCGGTAGGGATAGCCTTCAATGTGCGTGCCGATTCACGTTGGATCTCTTCAATGGATTCAAAACGATTTCCCCGGAGTGGTCTCTTGAGCTTTGGGAACAGCCAGAAGTCACACGGTGCTAAGTCGGGCGAATACGGTGGTTGTGGAGCAACATGGGTAGAGTTTTTGGCGAAAAACTCACGAAGAACCAGTGCTGTGTGCGAAGGCGCATTATCGTGGTGCAAAATCCAAGAGTTATTGGCCCATAATTCCGGTCTCTTTTTGCGAATAGCTTCACGTAAACGTCGCATAACGCTTAAATAATATTCCTTGTTGACAGTTTGGCCAGTTGGAAGGAATTCGTAGTGCACGACACCACAATAATCAAAGAAAACAGTCAACATGACCTTGATTTTTGAGTGACTTTGACGTGGTTGCTTCGGTCTCGGCTCGCCTTTTTCACAGTATTCACTCGATTGGTCGGTTGTTTCAGGGTTGTATGCGTAGACCCAAGTCTCATCGCCAGTAATAATTTGTTTGTAGACGTCATGATAGTCAGAAAGCATTGCTTCACACGTTTTAACGCGACGCTCTTTTTCAAAGAAATTGAGAAATTTCGGCACCAAACGTGATTTGAGTCTTCTGAGGCCCAAATGATCTTTCAAAATCGCTTGCACTGACCCAAATGATATTCCAACCATGTCAACAAGGTCTCGAATGGTTAACCGACGATTTGCAAGCACCAATTCTTTGATTTTGTTGATGTGGCAATCATCAATCGAAGTCGATGGTCGTCCGGAGCGTTCCAAGTCATCAACACGTTCTCGGCCTTCTTTAAAGTCTTTGTACCACTTGTAAACATTTTTTTGAGACATAGTCTCTTCACCGAAGGCCTTTTGCAACATTTGATACGTTTCAGCAGCAGAAATATCATTCCGCAAACAAAATTTAATAGCACTTCTTTGCTCAACAAAATTAGACATCGTGAAAATCGCCGAATGCACTTTTGGTACTTCAGAAACAAGCGTAAACAAAAAAAAAATAATTATGAGTTTGACATGTAATTTGGCGCAAATGTTAATGACATTCCTACCAAACTTAAAAATAAAAAAGATTGGACGATTCGAATAAGACGGGAAGTTCAAATTAAAAATTCACCTTACTTTTTGATCACAGTAGTAGAATTAATTAGGGGTGATTTTGAATTCTGGCCGAAACCAAATTTCCGGAATTGTTGAAAAAATTCTGGTCGGAACCAGATTTATATATATGTAGTTTTTTACTTTCAACATTAAAAATGAAAACCTGCACCTCAGCATCATGGCCTCATTATATATATATATATATATATATATATATATATATATATATATATATATATATATATATATATATATATATATATATATATATATATATATCTATGTATATATATCTATATATATCTATATATATCTATATATATCTATATATATATATATATATATATATATATATATATATATATATATATATATATATATATATATATATATATATATATATATATATATATATATATAGATATATATAGATATATATAGATATAGATATAGATATATATATATATATATATATATATATAGATATATATATATATATATATATATATATATATATATATATATATATATATATATATATATATATATATATATATTTATATATATATTTATATATTTATATATATGGGCAATTCTATTTTTAACTTATGTTACACACGTAACAACTTTATCAACAACTCTATTTGTTAGTTTAAAGAATAGCATAAGCTAAAAAGTTTTGAGTCAGGCCAAAAGAGGGCAAACTTGTTATTGAAAATGCCACTTAACTTACGCTACGCAGAAAACAAAGTAAACAAATTGCTTCAACTTTTAGGTCAGATTTCTTTGAATCAGTAAAGCGGTTTGTATTCGAAACTTTCACAAGATAATAAGAATTCTATACTAATTTAAAAATATATAAAAGTTTATCAGAAGAAAAATAAACTTGTTTTTTGATACTATGTATGTAAGTTACATTACATCATTTATGTTTTGGAGCAATTTTTATTGTGGATTTTCATATCTTTAAGAGTTCGAGTTCTGTAAAAAAAAGAATTGCAAAAGTATTGAACTTAATTACATTAAAAATAGTTAACAAAGGAAATTTTAGAAAACTAGTTGCACTCTTCCTGAGTGATTTTTCATAACATTTAAGAAAGTTATCAAATCAAAAACAGTTTTTCTGCAAGACCAAGAGCAACTTTAAAAAATTATTTTAGTATTAAAACTTTATTAATACTTATTTGAGTCATTTAAAAAAGAAAATCTTTGTTTTGTCAAAGTTTTTATTTACACTTCTTACGTTTATGCGCATTGCTATATTTTCATTAGGTTAAATTTTCAAAATGCTGCAAAGCATTTATGTTTAAACTTTTAAAAAATTTTTTGATGTTAAAACTGCTATCGCAGTTTAGGAGGGAGAGGGGGTTCAGGTTTATGTGATTGTTTGTGACAAGAAGGAAGGGGTTAAGAATTGACAAATACAGCGTGATGTGCTTTGATGACTCCCCTTAATTGCTTTTATAAACATTTTGTTTCACTAAAACAAAAATAAAAAAGGTTCTAACTGATTTTTTTTTATATCAGGAGAATAGTAAATTATTCTTTCTTTTTTTTTTAATGTCTAAATAAAAGTATTTATATAATTCTTATTTTTATTCATTTATGTATATTTATATGTCAACCAAAATAAGAATACATAAACAAATAAAAAAACAATAATATAAATAATTTCAATTAACATTAAAAAAAAAAGATTTTTTTCTCAATTCTCCTAATATAAAAAGTTTCAGTTAAAACATTGTCGACGAAATAAGAATTACTTAATGGCGTAATTTATTTAATTAACGAAAAAGCACCAGAACTTTAGTAAATGCATGTAGTTTTACCTTTTACATTATTGTACAGTACCTTACATTATTGAAGTTTAAAATAAAAATGTGCTTTAACCAAGCGTCCATATTCAGAACTTTAAATGCAGAAACGTAACATAAAATATTCTTTCACATATATTATTTAAAAACTAAAGTTTTTTAACTAAATTTTAGAAAAAACAAAACTTTATTATGTTTTTGTTAACTTACGTTACATGAAAATTGCAAAAGTTCTTTCGTTATTTTCTTGTAATATATATTTTATAAATATAAAATCTGACCAACAACATTTTGAACATGTTAGCCCCATTTTCACGCTAAATTAATTCTGATTATGCAAATAAATTCATGTTCAAAATAACATTTTACAACGATACTTTTTTAATCATGCGACAATGAGAAAAACCATAACTTTCGGAAACATAAAAATGACTTAAATAAATTAATTTTAGTACTAAAGGTATATTTTAAATAAACTTTCATGTGTCTACATCAATATTTAATTGTTAAAAGTTGACGAAATTGAGAATAAAATTTGACTGCTTGTTTATTTTCTGCCTTGAAATTACCCATATATATATATATATATATATATATATATATATATATATATATATATATATATATATATATATATATATATATATATTATATTATATTATATTATATTATATTTATACATATATATGAAATATTTACTGTATTAGGCATCCTATACTTTTTAACTATTTAAAAGTTAAGAAACATTAAAAATGAGACTATTGTCAAAGTTTGCACCACAATGTTTCTAAACTTTTTGAAATAGTAAGTAAGTGCAAATAAAATTAGGCAAAGCTACAGATATGGGGTCTAAAATAATTTAATTTTATCACTTGTTGCGCTTCCGTGTGAAGACTTGCTCAAAGTGGGACTTTTTAATATAAACAGAATATTTATTGGCTTTAGTACATACATTGACTATCTTTTAGCCTGCTGCTACAAGGAAGTGCAGCTACATTGACTGAGGATTTGGCGTAGGGCAGCAATCTTTTTCTTTTATTATTTCAATTAAAATTTCTAATGTTTCAAAACTCTCCACTAACGTGAGTGCAACTCAGAAAAACGCATCTCAGAAGTGCCAGAGTTACTTTAAATTTATTTTACTTATTAAGTAATATTAACATTATTTTTTTCTGTTCATAATTATAAAAAGTTGAAAAAAGTTATGTTCGCATTGTAAGTAAGAAGAAATATTATTTTTAAACAACCTCATAAAGTTTAGTGTGCTTAGACAAAAAATTATTTTTATTAATTCTGACAAAATAAATT